CCGCGGGGCGGGGACTTGGGGCGGCGGAGATCCAGGGCTGCGGGGATCGGGGGCCGCGTGGGAAGGGGCTGCCCAGCCCCCGTGGGGGGGTCTCTGATCGCGGCCCGTCCCGCAGGGAGAAGTTTGCACCGCGCTCAACAACAAGTACAGCGAGTTCGTGCCCAGCGCGCGCCGCGCCGAGGAGCTGTCGGGGCGCGTGGCCGCGCTGAGCGGGGACATGGAGCTGCTGCGGGCACGCGTGGACTGCGAGGTGACCCGCGGGGGGCTCAGCCCTGGGAAAGGCCCCTCGGCAGCACCTGGGGACAGGTGGGGGAGGGAGGAGCTGCCACCTGAGCTGGCCCTGCTGCTGCACCTGAAGCAGCACCTGCGCCCGCAGGTGATGAGGTGGGAACTGAGCAGCTCAGGGCTGGGCCCAGGGAGGAACCTGAACCAGCACCGTGCACTGAACCTGCTTTTTGCTTCTCTGCTTGAATTCCCCCCACATCTGGGGCTCTGTTGTGGTGTTGAGATTTACCTGCTGGTGCAGTGCCAGCCTTCTTTTGCATGGCTGTGCCCACTGAAGTCCTTCTGCTGTTCAGTTTCCTCACAGTGCCTTTAAAAAAAACCTGTAATTTATTAAGAGAAACCAGATGACAAGCCTTTCCCCTGCTTAAGTATCTTCCTAACAAGGAGTAAATGCATGGAGCCTTTTTCCCCCTCACCAAATGACTCCCATAATGTTAAATGTGATGTTGCTGCCTTCAAGAAACCAGATGACAAGCCTTTCCCCTGCTTAAGTGGAAACCCCCTAACAAGGGGTAAAATGCTGGAGCCTTTTTCCTCCTCACTGAACGACTCCCATAATGTTAAATCTGATGTTGCTGCCTTCAAGGGCAAACATGTCTGGTGACATTTGCTTGCTGTAAATTAAGTGAAAAGTCCGTTATTTTAGGTCCACAAGATCTGAAATGTTGCTGTTGCTGAGTTTGCTGAGTTGAAGCAGCAGCTGGAGCAAGACACCCTGGTCCTGAGCATCCTGAAAAAGCTACAGGAGGTGAGGAGGGGGAGCAGCTTGAATCATGGAGCACCACCCAGCCTCCCTGCTGCTCCTGCAGCACTACTCTGGGCTGGTTGTAGCTGCCCAGGCTTTGTATTGTTTAAAAAAACCCCTGTAGTTTACTTACAAATGCCTTAGGAGTGTGTTTGGTTGCTGCAGTTTGACACAGCTGTTAAGGAGTACAACACTGCCCTGCTGGAAAAGAAGTATGTTGCAGCAGCTCAGCAACTGGAAAAGGTAATAGTGCCTCTTCAGCATGGGAGTGCTGCTCATACAGCCTTCCATAAACATCACAGGGTGCTTTGCAGTGGCAGCATTTACCCAGGTTTCCCCTCTCCCCCCAGGCACGGGGCAGCCTGAAGGTGCTGGGATCCCGCAGGGGCTTTGAGCTGAAGATCCTGAAGGCCCTGAACACAGAGCTCACTGTGCAGACACAGAACATGCTCTACCACCTGGGGGAGGAGTGGCAGAAACTGGCTGTGTGGAAGCTGCCTCCTTCCAAAGGTACTCACAGTTCCAAGTTGGTTTCACCATTTTTTTGCTTCCCTGTTTGAAATTGCCTGGCTTCCAGCACCTGCAAGATAAGAAATGCAGTAAAGCTGTTAACTAGGGCTGGTTTCAGGAGCTCCTCCTGCTAATTGTGTGGCCTAACGAGTTGGGAGTGATGAGTGGCAATGTTCTTTGGATACTCCAAACCCCTGGAGAGCTTAGGTGCTACCACAAGCCATCCAGTGTAGCCAGCAGACTTTAAACAAGGTTTTGAAGGTTCAGCTGCCTCATCTGTGGTATTCCTTAAAAAACCTGGAGGCAGAGATCAAAACAGTTACCAGCCTCTGAGTACCCTCCTAGTCCTGTGAAGAATCAGAAGAGGGATCCTCTCTCTTGCAGAGCTGCTGCTCCTGGGCCCACATTCCATGTTGGTTTTCACTGAATGCACAATTCAGTGTGGTAGCTGGAAGAGTTTCCCAAAATTTTTCATCACCCTGAGAAAGTTTTCCCACTAAACTGGTTTTTAAGATTACTTGTATCTTCTCTGAGAGGTTTTCAGGCTGCCACTTCAGTTGCAGGCAGCAAATTGCAAGAACTGCTCAGGAGTCTGTACCTTGGTGTCTTCACTGACACAAGCTTTTCCTTTGGAAGGGGGGGAAAACTCACCCTTTTCCTTGGGACTTGGCTTGAAACAGGGATGAGAAGGGAAGTGACTGTCACTGTCATTCAGCTGCAAGGTGACTGAAATGAGTCTTTGTAAGAAATGTGTCCTTGTAAGAGACTAATTCTCATTCCATTGTCCTGCACTAGGAACTCTGGCCCCTCTTCTGATGCTCAAAGGGCTGTTTTTTGGGTATGAAGAAAGGGAGACTGTTGCTTTAGCTGCTCCTACTTGAGGAGTGTTGTAGCTTCTACCTGCTGTATCTCAGACCACACTGACACAGAGATGGTTCTTTTCCTTCAGAAAGCAGCAGCCTGGAGACAGTGACACAGTCTGAGCTGCACCTACACACGGTGCCACCAAAAGAGAAGGTTTCTGGCCCACCTGTTGCTGCTGTGCTGCAGGCATTTGCTGTCCTGGGAGAACTGCACACCAAGCTTAAAATTTTTGGTAAGACAGACCAGAGATCCAGATAAACCAAAGCCAGGATTTTACCTCATTAGCTGTTCCCTGGTGCAGCTAATTGAGAGTGTGTTTCCCCCACGTCACATGAAGAACATCCACAACAGTCACAGTTGAGCCATCCCCGGACCCAAACTGCCTCCTCTTGTTGGAAAACACCTTTTTTTTTTTATATTTCTCAGGTCAATTGCTGCTGAAGTACATTCTCAAGCCACTGATTTCATACCCATCCCTTCAGCCCCTCACAGAGGAGCAGCCAGATGTGTTGATCCTGCGTTTCAAGTCCGAGGAGCCTGCCTGGGATCATTCCTCTCCCATGGAGGTTTTTGACAAAATCAAGCTTGTTTTTGAATTTCTCCACAAATATCTGTTGAGTAGGTAGTTTTTCCCTTTTGGAATTAGTCTGAGATTAGTACCTTGTTCACATAATTGGAGCAGCAGCAGTTTTCTACAATATGTGGCTGTTAAGCAGTGTTGAATGATACAGAAAGGTCTGAGCAGCTGTCACTGTTCAGGTGCTGTGCTGTGCTCTTGGGCAGCTTGGCACCTTGTCAGACTGGACTTAGCAATGACCCAGCATTCACAGAGCTGGGAAGATGAAAGAGGAAAGTGTTTTGACTCAAAGGGATCACAGTTAATTTTTTGTAATCATAATAATATTTAGTAACATGAATTTTCTCTTACAAACCAGTCAGCACAAAGGTCTGAAAGGAGCAAGTCAGGATGCAATCCAGGGAGTTCTCCCCATCAGGCTGCTCACAGGCAGGATCTTCCATTGGCTAGAAACTGGCCTGGGCTTTGCATTTCACAGAACAATTGTGCTGGGAAAGGGTGCTCAGAGTACTCACAAGTTCAGGTGTCTTGGTTGGGGGATGAGTCCCCAGGCCCAGCACATGGCCTGGATAAGAAAGTCTCTGTTACATGGAGCACTTGATAGATGCTGCTGACAGGAAGGACTGAACAAACTCAAGTGTCGGCTCCAGGAAGCAGGTGTATTAAAATCCATTTCTGTTCTCTTGGATGCAGATGTGCCTCTGGAGCAGCCTGCACAAGACAAGGAGGATTGCAGCAAGGTCACACTGGCAGAACTGCTGGGTGAGCTGATCTGGGAAGAGCTGTCAGACTGCCTCATTCACAACTGCCTGGTGAACTCAATCCCAACCAACAGCAGCAAACTAGAGCAGTATATAGAGGTAGGTCTCAAAAATCTTTCAGATCCATGTGGGGGAGGTGGCAGGTGACCAGCTTGAACCACAAGGCCCTTGGCTGAGCCTCTGCAAGGGGCTGCAGATCCCGATGGGGCAGAGCTGCTTCTTCTCTTTGTGTTGGTAAAAATCACAGGGAGTTCTTGCATGGGCCACAGTTTTAAAAGCTGCATCATAAAGCAGAACTTACTGCAAGGGAAGAATGCCAGAAGCTCCTTCTCCTGGAGAGGGAGCTGTTTCAAACAGAACCAGTCATAGGATGAACCTCCTAGTCTCTTCCCCTCCAGGTAGCCCAACATAATGAAATTTGATCAGATCTTGCTTGGTTGCCTGGGGGGGACAAACCTGCAGTTCAAACACTGTATTATTGTGTGCTCAGGGCCCCCAGCTGAGCCAGCTTTTCCCACAAGGTTGCTGAAAAGCTGCTGGATTGTTAGTGCCCTTTAAAACCAACTTCACAACCTTTGCTTTCAGCTGAGTGGAAGAGTTTATACCCAAGTTTTGTTCTTGTCTTGAAGAAACTATGTTAATGTGGAACATGTGTCTGCTCTTCTCAGGTGATTAAATCCACAGAGGAGTTTGAAAAAGCCTTGAAGAACATGCAGTTTTTGAAAGGGGACACGACTGATCTGCTGAAATACGCCCGCAATGTCAACTCCCACTTTGCAAACAAGAAGTGCCAGGATGTGATTGTGGCAGCCAGAAACCTGATGACCTCAGAAATACACAACACTGTAAAGGTGGCTGTTGGTGCAACACACAGTCCTGCTGTTTGGAAAAGCAGCTGTTGAATAAGGCTTGTCTAAAACAGTTATTTTGGATGGGGTTATTTTGTGAAGTACTGAATAATCTTGGTTATTTAGGGATCTTACTTAGGGGCTGTTTGGAAAAGCAGCTGTTGAATAAGGCCTGTCTAAAACAGTTAATTTGGATGGGGTTTTTGTGAAGTACTGAATCGTCTTGGTTATTTAGGGATCTCACTTAGGGATCTTGGCAAACAACAATTTCAAAGCCTTTTTTAACAGTGCTCAGGAGGGTTATTTCACTAACAAGAAATGCCTTAAAAGACTTGAAGTTTGCTTGTGTAGGCTTTTCTGGCTGGTGTCATAAACATAAGAATGATTAGAAAATTAGTTACCAAACTGCTTCCAGGCATGCAACACCAGTGTTTCATGGTCTGCTCTGTCTTTCATAAACCAGGAGGTTTCCAGCAGTCTTGGGAGACTTCTGCAGCCTCGTGTTTATCTTCTTAAACTGCCATTGTATTTTGTAGTCTTGCACAGTCTCTTTTCTGTGGACATGAAATTCTGTTATCCCCTCTTGTTCTCCTTTAGATCTCACCTGACTCCTCTGTAGCCCTGCCAAAGCTTCCTGATCCTGGGGCAGATCACTCACAGATGCAAAAGTCTCCTCAGCTTCTGCACAACGAGACAGGGAATTTGGAGAACGAGACCAAACTGAGCCAGTTCACCTTCTCCCTGCCCACCTGCCGCATCAGCGCGTCCGTGGAGAAGCTGATGGAGTTGGCTTATCAGACACTGCTGGAGGCCACAGCCAGCACTGATCAGTGGTAGGAGCTGGAGATCAGTGGGTAGCTCTTGGGTGTCATACCTACTGCTTTGGGCAACATCAAGCATCTGCTGATAGGTTAAAAGAGTTCTAAAAGAGCAGGAGATACTTCATTAGAATTGATCATTAAAGCCATGCTGGCTGGGGGTTGAGCTGGCACAGCAGGCACAGCTGCAGGTTGTGTTCCCTGGGATACTCAGTTAAGCAGCCTGTTGCACTTGGGCTTTCAGGGAGCATTCAGGGTCACTTGTATTTTGGTGATCTAAGCAGTGAAAACATGAGCTCCCTCACCTGTGTAGCTCATGGCTTCTGTTTACCTGGGAGGAGCACTAGTGCAGCTTCCACCTCTGTGTTCCATCATGCATGAGCTGTCAGTTGCTTAGAAAAACCAAACCCATCCCTTTTTCAGACTAAATTATCAGTGATGGCATTTCTTCCAAGACAAGTTCTTGCTTTGTGTTGCTGAAAGCAAAGAACTGCAGCTGTGCCTCTGGCAGGGCTCTCCAGGGAAAAGGATTCCATGTTTTAAGGAACCCAAATTCTGCTTTAACAACTGGAGACCACAGCCCTCAGTGCCTCAGTACTGAATGCCCTTCAGTGCACTGTGGCTGAGAGGTTATCTACACACACCTGCTGGGGAAGGGACACTGTCCCCTTTGTTCCTGGGGTTTCATCTCCCTTCTGCCATGTGCTCTGGATCTTGTCTTTTCCACACTGACCTCCCAAGGTCATCGCAGCCTTTGCTGCTTTTCCAGAATGTTGCCTTTGTTGACATAGCTGTAATTGATCCTGACCATCTCTTTCTGCCAGTAACTTTGCTACTAATATAAAACTTTGTTCTGAAGGTCGAGGATCATTAATGAACAAGACATTAATAAACTGACTAACATGAACTTCTCCTTGCAGCTGCGTGCAGCTCTTCTACTCTGTGCGGAATATATTCCAGCTGTTCTATGATGTAGTGCCAACATACCACAAGTAAGTGTGTGTGTATCACCTGGGGCCTGTTCTGGAGAGAGAGCAATGCTCCTAGAGCCCACTTTGCCCACCACAACCAGAGGTTACTGAGGGCTTCCTCCAGCAGCAAAAATCTAGTACTTTTCATCTATCATTAAAATCATACCTGCAGCAAAACAGTGGCTTGGGAGTTTCCAAGTCAGCAGGCTTATAACCAAGCAGGTAATTGCAGTTCTTGTAACAGTTGCTTGAATCCAGCTACATAACATTAACCCCAGGTCCAATGCAGAGATTTTTCATGATGGTTTCCCTATAAAAAAAGAGAAGCAGTGAGGATTGAAAAGATACAGTTCTGTCAGAGAACACGCAGCTTCTCTTTCC